CTCCTCTTCCTTCTTCCCCAGAGCTCTGGGCTGGGGTTGCTGGCCCAGCTGCCACCCCTGTGGGCAGTGCTATGGGCAGGGCTTGGGGCACAGGGGCCTTTGGTGGTGCTGATGTGTCTCCCTGCAGTGAGGCTGCTGCGGGAGGAGCGGCAGCTGCTGCAGGAACAGGGATCCTACGTGGGAGAGGTGGTCAGAGCCATGGACAAGAAGAAAGTGCTTGTCAAGGTATGAGCCTGAGCAGGGCAAGGGGTGACACCCTCCCTGTGAGGACCGGGGTGAGCTGTTGGGGGGATGTGACAGCTCAGACGTGTGGAGTGGAGCTCTTTGTCCAGAGGAGCACTTGGGGTGGCTCTGCTGGCTCCAAACCCTCCCCAGGCTGGTGGGTGTGTTTGCTCCTGGCTCCTTCCTTCTGCTCTAAGCCCCCAGTGTGGATTTCAAGCACACAACAGGGAACTTCCCGGAGGAATAACTGTCATGGTTGCCTTGCAGGTGCATCCAGAGGGGAAGTTTGTGGTGGACGTGGACAAGAACATTGACATCAACGATGTGAGTATCCCAGGGCTGGGGGAGGGGACTCGGGGTGACAAGGACACATTGCAGGGACCCTGAGCCATCTCTGCAGGGACCCTGAGCCCTGAGCTGTCCCCACAGGTGACCCCAAACTGTCGCGTGGCTCTGCGCAACGACAGCTACACCCTACACAAGATCCTGCCCAACAAGGTGGACCCTCTGGTGTCCCTGATGATGGTGGAGAAGGTTCCAGATTCCACTTATGAGATGATTGGGGGCTTGGACAAGCAGATCAAGGAGATCAAGGAGGTGATTGAGCTGCCTGTGAAGCACCCAGAGCTCTTCGAGGCGCTGGGGATCGCCCAGCCCAAGGCAAGTGTTGCTGTAGGGTCTATCCTGCCTCTCACCCTGGGGGTGTCCCCATGGCCCAGTTGAGGGTGGAGCACACACAGAGGTGCTGATGTGTCCCCATGGCTGTTTGCAGGGCGTGCTGCTCTATGGACCTCCTGGCACAGGCAAGACCTTGCTGGCCAGGGCTGTGGCTCACCACACCGACTGCACCTTCATCCGTGTGTCAGGCTCAGAGCTGGTGCAGAAGTTCATTGGGGAAGGTAAGGGGCAGGGGAGAGGTGAAGGAGCTCTTGAGGAGAGCTCACATGGACCCAGTGAGGGACCCAGTGCAGCACCAGCACCCACAGGCTTATGGAATGGGTTGGGTTGGAAGGGAATCTTAAGGCTCATCCACCTGTGGGTGTCACACTGCTCAGGGAGGCAGTAGATAGCCCAACCCTGGCAGTGTTCGAAGATTGGATGAAGCTTTGAGTGACCTGCTCTGGTGGGAGGTGTCCCTGCCCAGGGCAAGGGTTGGGGCTAGGTGATCTCTAAGCTCCATCCCAGCCCCTGAAGTCTGTGGCTCCTGGGGGTTGGGTGGCCTCAGGACTGTCCCCCGGGTGGTGCCAGGGAGGTGGGAGCTGTGCCAGGCTGTGCACGGTGCCCTGTGCCCCCACAGGTGCCCGCATGGTGCGGGAGTTGTTCGTGATGGCTCGGGAACATGCTCCCTCCATCATCTTCATGGATGAGATCGACTCCATCGGCTCCTCCCGCCTGGAGGGAGGCTCAGGGGGAGACAGCGAGGTGCAGCGCACCATGCTGGAGCTCCTCAACCAGCTGGATGGCTTTGAGGCCACCAAGAACATCAAGGTAGGAGGTGCCAGCCCTGCCTGGGGACGGGGCTGTGTCCTGCTGCTCCCACAGTGCTGACAGTTGTCCCTGTGCAGGTGATCATGGCCACCAACAGGATTGACATCCTGGACTCGGCTCTGCTGCGCCCTGGACGCATTGACAGGAAGATTGAGTTCCCTCCTCCAAATGAAGAGGTACTTGGGGTTCCCCTTGGGTCTTCTTTGGGCACATCACTCCTATCTGGGAGCAATTCCTGCAGCTCCAACCCTCCCTGTGCCACACTTCAGGCTCGCCTGGACATCCTCAAGATCCACTCTCGGAAGATGAACCTGACTCGAGGCATCAACCTGCGGAAGATCGCGGAGCTGATGCCAGGGGCATCAGGGGCTGAGGTGAAGGTGAGCTGAGGGCACTGGGAGGCACCAGGGCTGGCACTGGGGAGCAGTGGGTGACGTCCCTGTCCTTCCAGGGGGTGTGCACAGAGGCAGGAATGTATGCACTGAGGGAGAGGAGAGTGCACGTCACCCAGGAGGACTTTGAGATGGCTGTGGCCAAGGTAAGTGCTGGGAGGGAGGTGAAAAGAGGGGGTGGCAGTGGGTTTTGTGGGGGTGTAAAGTGTCCTGGGCAGGAGCTGCAGGGCTTGGAGCTGGGGACAAACAGCAGCATTCAGGGGGTTGTCCCCACACAAGTGATGTGAAATAAGCTCCTGGGTCACAGCCAGAGCCTGGGTGGAGAGAGAGAGGCTGCTGTGCCTTCCCCATGCATGGCTGGAGTTGGGTATTGGGGGGTTATTAGCATCCAAATGTGGTGGCTACATGTGGGGACCAAACCCTCCTCCCTCCCTGCCCAGGTGATGCAGAAGGACAGCGAGAAGAACATGTCCATCAAGAAGCTGTGGAAGTAACGGTGAGGCTGGGGCTGCTCC